TACATTGCTGTGCTCATGCCGGTAAATACGATTATTATGTCTATTATTCTTATAGTGATTAAGCTGTTTGCACAAATGAAAAATGTTATGAGTTTTTTTTTTTTTTTTTTTCCAGTTACTGAAAAAGTGGTCTCCAGTGTTTAAGAACTATGTGAAGAGAGCACAGGATTATCTGGAATGTTTGTGTGCTTTCGAAGAATTCTTTCTGGAGCAGGAGAATTACTGGGCCGCCATGGCTAAGGTAAGACGGCCGAAATCTTTTGTTTCCTCCAAAAAACAAAATCAAAAGACGCTATTTGGTCTGCATTTGTAGCTGCCAGTGTTCAAGGGCTACATTTTCTTCATTATCCAGGTCCTGATGGAAATGTACCAGCTGGAGGTCCTGGAGGAGGAGATGATACTTAGGTGGTTTTCCCAGGGAACGACTACAGATAACAGCAGACGGCTCCGCAAAAACCAAGGGGTAGGTGTCTTTATTTGACTGGACTTGGACGCACAAAGAGAAATTCCTCACACTTGTCCGCCTTACGTCAAATGATCTCATTTGTACCGACAGCTTCAGAAGTTGATTAAGTGGCTAGAGGAGGCAGAGGAGTCATCGGACGAGGGAAACTAAGAAGGAGCGTAAAGAAAAGGCGGAAGAATATTCACTAAAGCCTTTAAGAGTTTGTGTGAATAATAATAATAAAAAAAAAAAGAGCTTGTTTTACCATTGACTCCGGCTCACTTTGCTTGCACCTGTAACCAACAAGTACATTGTACATTGCAATCCAAAGGAAAGGTGTGCTGCAAATGTAACTTAGACGTCGGAGCGGAATTCAATTTCTAAAGGACTTTTCGTGGTTCACCTTACGGCCTAATGGTAAAGGTTGAGACAATGAATGCAAGAAGCAAAATCTATATCCATCCACTATTTTAATGCTTAAAAGTAAAAGCGAAATGAGTACGCAACACTCATTCCCTTACCTCTATAAAATACTGCTGCTAGAATCAACCTTAAAGTGGACGGTTTGAAGCAACGTTGTGCTTCACTTTTAACTGCAAATTCAGTGCACACTGCACCAATGTCACAGTGACATGCATGCATTTCACACCATACTGCCAACAATGCAAACCAACAACTGGGCAAATAATACATAGTTATTAAACCAAGGGTGTCAAACATACTGTTTGCAGACCAAAACCGGCCCATTAGGGGGGGTACAATCCGGCACACGTGAATCATTTTGAAAATGACAAAAAGCACAAATACTCCATGTTCATGACATTTTGTCAAATTATGTTTCATTAAATATAAATATATTCTAATATATACAGTGGGTACGGAAAGTGTTCAGACCCCTTTGAATTTGTCACTCTTTGTTTCATTGCAGCCATTTGCTAAAATCCAAAAAAAGGTTAATTTTATTTCTCATTAATGTACACTCAGTACCCCATCTTGACAGAAAAAAAAACACAGAAATGTAGACATTTTTGCAAATTTCTTAAAAAAAGAAAAACTGAAATATCACATGGTCATAAGTATTCAGACCCTTTGCTGTGACACTCACATGCTGTCCATTTCTTCTGATCCTCCTTGACATGGTTCTACACCTTCATTGGAGTCCAGCTGTGTTTGATTAAACTGATTGGACTTGATTAGGAAAGCCATATATATCTATATCTATATGTCTATATAAGACCTTACAGCTCACTGTGCACGTCAGAGCAAATGAGGTCAATGGAACTGCCTGAAGAGCTGAGAGACACAATTGTGGCAAGACACAGATCTGACCAAGGTTACAAAAAAAAAAATATCTGCTGCACTTAAGGTTCCTAAGAGCACAGTGGCCTCCATAATCCTTAAATGGAAGACGTTTGGGACGACCGGAACTCTTCCTAGACCTGGCCGTCCAGCCAAACTGAGCAATCGTGGGAGAAGAGCCTTGGTGAGAGAGGTAAAGAAGAACCCAAAGATCACGGTGGCTGAGCTGCAGAGATGCAGTCGGGAGAAAGTTGTAGAAAGTCAACCATCACTGCAGCCCTCCACCAGTCGGGGCTTTATGACAGAGTGGCCCGACGGAAGTCTCTCCTCGGCGTAAGACGCATGAAAGCCCGCATGGAGATTACTAAAACAACACCTGAAGGACTCCAAGATGGGGACAAATAAAATTCTCTG